GCCTCAAACCTGTTCCTGAGATGGTTCTGAAATTCAGGTGGGATAGACTCAAAGTCATATTTTGGTTGCCTTGGATTTGGTTTAATTTTGGTTCAACTTCAGCTTGAACTTGCATTTGAGTAGTTGGTGGTGTGTTCCACAATCAACTCCTGGTCTAGTTTTCACAACTGATACTGAGCTTCTCCAGTGGTTATTTCCACAGATGTAATTGATCTGATTCTGGCGGAGAAGCTGGGCAGCTAAAGGGTCCATAAAACTCCCCGCCCATTTTCTCAGGTAACATTGAAGATGCCAAAACCGCACAGCATTTGTTCATAGATCACATAGAACTCTAGGAATCATTACCAGGTTACTTGGATGAAGATAGACACTTTGGAGTTTGGATGAACTGCCCAAACCTTATATACTAAGTAATGTTTTACAAAGAGGATTTGGCAGCAATCAACTCACTGGTTCCCAAAGTTTTCTGTACATGAGAATCACCAAAGATTTTATAACTCCAGATATCCAGCCTGTACCCCAGATAATTAAAACAGAATGTCAAGGTGTGGAAGCCAGGAAACATAACCTTTTATAAAGACCCCAGTTATTTCAATGTACAGGAAAATTTGGGAATGACTTAACCAACTTTAATATATCTGAACTCCAGAAATTGGCTTTAGATTTCTATAGACTGTCATTAGTCTCCTTAATCTCCCACAACCCTCCAGTCAATGTTATGAGTTAGTCATAAGGTTATTGTTGTTATTATGAGCCATCAAGTCAACCGCAATTCCTAATGACCCTATCTATGAATGACAGCTCTGAATCTTGCCCTATCCTGAACAAAACGCACCATTTCTGACACACCTGCTCCCATTGCCACAGTCACTGTGTCAATCTATTTCTCCCAGGGTCTTTCTCTCCTGTGCTGACCCTCAACCATTTCAAGCATGATGTCCTTCTCCAAGGACTGATCCTTCCTGGTAACATGCCCAAAGTATCTGAGATACAGCATAAAAATCCTTTCCTATGAGGAGCAACTGGGTTTCACCCTCTAAAAGATAGTTCTCTTGGTAGTCAGTGGTATGTTCAATATTCTTCTCCAGCACCACAACTCAAAAGCATCTATTCATCTTCTGTCATCCTAAATCATTGTCCAGTTCTCAGACGCATAATAAGTAATTGCGTCATGGTCTGAATCAGATGCACGTTAGTCTCTAGTCTGAAATAGTTGCTCTTTAGCACTCTTGAGGACCCTGACAGCAGATTTTCCTAAAGCAACTTATCTTTTGACTTCCTGACTAGTGGTGCCGAGAGTGTTGACTATGGATCTGAACACAATGAAATGGTTAACAATCTCAATCTCTCCTTCATCTATCATGGTGCTGCCAATTGGCTCAGTGGAGAGAATCTTTGTTTTCTTTATGTTGAGAGGCAATCTATATTGAAGACCTAGTCCTTGACCTTTTGCAGTAAACACTTCAAGTCTCCCTCAGTTTTGGCAAGAAATGTTGCATAACACAGACTGAGTCTTCCTCTAATCCTGATGCCACATTCTTCTTCATAAAGATCACTTCTCAAATGATCTGTTCTATATATAGATTTGTTTTGGGTTTTTTTTTTTAATCCAAATTAAAATCCCCTTTAATGAGAAGAAAAAAAAAAAGAAAAGGATTCATCTTGATTTTGAACCCTGCAATGTTGCCTTGCTCTGTTCAGACAACAGTTTTCTAGTCTAGGTAAAAATTTCACATGAACAAAATCAAGTGTACTAGGATTTTCATTCTTCTTAATGTTAGCCACAATAAATGATCCACACAGTCAAATGCCATTATACAGTCAATAAAACACAAATCTTTCCGGCACTCTCTGCTTTCAGCCAAGATCCATCTGACATTGGCCATAATGTCTGGAGTGCCATGGCCTCTTCTAAATCCAAGCACATATTTCTGGCAGTTCTCTGTCAATGTACAGTTCTAGTAATTTTTGGATAATCTTCAGCAACATTTTGCTTGCACGTTATATTAGTTATATTTTATAATTTCCACATTCTGTGGGATCACGTTTTTGGGGAAAGGGAATAAATATGAATCTCTTCCAGTCAGTTGACCAGGTAGCTGTCCTCCAGACTTCTTGGAACAAATTGATGAAAACATTCAGGGCTGCATCTTTTTGTTTAAATATGTCAACTGGTATTCCTGGGGCCTTGGTTTCTGCCAATTCCTTCAGAGCAGCTTGAACTTCCTCCTTCATCCCTACTGCTTCTTGATCATATGTTGTTTCATAAAATTCTTCAGCCAATTGCAATCATCAACAAATTCTTTTCGGTAGAGTGACTCTGTATATTCTTTTGATGCTTTCTGGTTCATTCAATATTCTACCCATAGCATCTTTAAATATTGAAACTTGAGACCTGATTTTCAGTTCTTCATTTCCTTCAGCTTGAGAAATGATGTTCTGACTCTAGTTCTTTGCACACTTCATTTTAATATTTTATATTCCTAAGCTGCCCTTTGAAATTTTCTGTTCAGCTCTTTAACTTCCTGATTTCTCCCCCTTGTTTCAGCTTCTTGGAGTTCTAGTGCAATATCCAGAGTCTCTTCTGACATCCAGCTCAGTCTTTTCTTCCACCTCTGTCTTTTTTTTTTTTTAATTTGTATGGACCCACCTCTGTCTTTTAAGGACCTTTTGTTTTCTTTATAGATGATATTCTTGATATCACCTCATATTTCTGCTAGTCTTTGTTCACTAGTGATCAAGGCCTCAAACTTGCTTTTGAGATAGTTTCTAAATTCAGGTGGGGTAGACTCAAGATCATATTTTGGCCATTCCCATGTTTGATAGCATTTTTTTTGCATTTATTAAGCTTTTATTCATTAAGTAGGCCCATCTCTGAAGCCTGTAAATTATTGAATTTTTTAAAAAAATCATTATTTGTGACTCAATCCTGACTCTTTTTTTCTCTCCGATTTGCCTTATGTAGCTATTGTGTGCTATCAAATTGGAACACACTCATAGCTGACTCCTCCAGAAGATTTTCATTGGCTTTCAACCACACAGAGGAGATTGCCCATTTTCCTCCCCCAGAGAGCTGGGATTCAAATCATTGACCTTCTGGTTTGCGGTGTAACAACAGAAGGTCTGCAGTGTAACACCTACCCACTAGGTCACCAGAGCCCCCAAGAGTCTAAGTTGCTGTTGCTGTGAACTATTGAGTTGAAACTGACCATAGTTGACCTGTCAGCTTGTTTACAGAGGCAGTAATCAAACGAGAGGAGACTGCCTATCCTTCTTCTGCAGAGCAGCTGGTAGAATGAAATCGTGTGTCTCTGGGTTTGCAGCACAATTCCCTATCACTATACCTTTGGAGCTTCCAACAGTCCATGCTAGGGCTGGACTGTTGTTTTCTATAACATTTAAAAAATTTCGAGTACTTTCATTTTTCCAATTAAATTTTGATATTAGGTCAAAAAATCAAAACTACATTGTGCTTTTGAGAAGAACTGGTTTAAATCAGCAAATTAGGGGATGCATATTGTCATATTTTATTTTTCTCATTAAGGATAATCATATATCTCTGGGAAAGACAGCTGGCCATTTACCAAGGAGAAAATGCTATGTATAACATGTGGCCAGGAGGGACCAATCCTTAGAGATAGCCATCAAGCTTGGAATGGTGCAGGGACAGTGCAGGAGAAGAAGATTCTGTATGAGATGGATTGATAAAGTAACTAGGATAATGGGGTAGGTATGCTGGAGACAGTGAGATTGGCTTAGGATAGGGCAGACTTTAGAGTTGTACATAGGGTTGCTATGAGTTGCAGGAGACTCAATGGCACATAACAATAACAATACAGCACAAAAAATCATGTGTAAGTATGTGGAAGGATAATGTATAGCTAATAATACTCAGATAAATACTTATTCTCAATTTCTCCTAAAGATGGGGCAAACAAGAAAGAAACTGAGTTTAGAAGGTTATAGAACTTCCTGATTGTGTGAGGTTTAAGATAGTAAAACATATTCTTTCTCCCTGAACAACTTATCTCTCCTGTAAAAATGTATACATTTTTAAAAAATTATGAACATTTCCTTTGCACTAAATCATACTATTTCTTTTCTTTGCAAGACTTATTTCAGAAATACTCAAGCAACATCCTAGACAAATCTCTCTGCCTGTTGAATATTTCCTTAACGCAGTTCAAATCTTGTAATCAAAAGTTTAGAATGGTATCACTCTTTGAATTGGTTGAAGATGTTCTTGGCCACCATTATGCATATTTACCTCTTTCCAGGCTTTGAAGAACCTCATGATAACAGAATTTTCCAGGCCCTGAGCTAAGGTTATTATCTTATTGAATCTTCCACCAACTTGATGTTTGAAGTGAGGTGAATTTCCAGGACTGAGAAGAAAGCAGGAGTCAGAGAGTCACTTACTCGTTTGGCCACAGATTTCTCTTGCTGTTCTTCCCACTTCCTCTGCTCTGCTCTCACATGTGCTTTGTACTCTGGAAGCTCAGGCAGCTCAGCTAGCCATCGGCGACGCGCATTTTGCACAGCTGTTTCTACCTGGAGGTTATTTTAACAGAAAGAGGGAAAGTGGTTGTCAAATTCTACAAAGATCCCATTTTCAAATAGTGACTATACACAATATTACACACATACACATATACACTAATGTAGTTTGGGGGTTCCCATTGCAAATTTTTCTGCTATCAGTGAGTTTGTGACTAAAGAATTATATAATTCATTAATTCATGCACAAATCAGACTTATATAATTCAACAATTCATGAACAAACCTGTTGGATTCTGAGCATGATCTCTTTGTAAATCTATCATCAGTTATCACATAATCATCGATAAAATGATGTTGTCATTGTTAGATGTCATCAAGTCGAATATAGGTCATGTTGTTGTTGTTGTTAAGTGCTGTCGAGTAACAGGCGACTCATAGCAACCTTATGAAAGAGAGTCCTCAACGCTTGGGTGTCTCTCGTTCTCTCTACAAGTTCATAGGGTTTCCAGAGGCAAGCTATTACGGAAGTGGATGCCACTGCTCCTTCCAAATATAGCTCATAGCGACCCTATAAACAATAGATCTGAACCCTGTCCTATCCTGTGGCACCCTCACAATCTCTGACACACTAGAGCCATTGCTGCAGTCGCTGTGTTGATCCACCTGGTCGAGGGTCTTCCTCTCCTTCACCATCTCTTCACTTTGCCAAGCACGATGTCCATCTCCAAGGAATGGCTTCTCCTAGCAATATGTTCAAAGTATGTGAGATGAAGCTCTATCATCTTTTCCTCCAAGAACCACTTTGGCTGTACCTTCTCCAAGACATACTTGTTTATTCTTTTGGCACTCCGTACTCTTCTCCCACTCTATAGTTCAAAGGCATCAATTCTTCTCTGGCATCTTAGCAACTGTCCAGCTCTCAAATGCAAAGTAAATGATTAAAAAGATCGTCACCTCAATCAGGTGCACTTGGTTTTCAAACTGCTATCACTGTTCCTCAATAATTCGGAGAAGTCCTTGACTATATGCTTTCATAATACAATAGGTCTCCTGATCTCCAAATTGGTATTTATTGTGGATCCGAGTATGGTGAAGTTGTCAACAGTTTCTCCATCTATCATGACATGTGTCTAGCTCATCTACCCACCACGAGCTTTGTTAACCAAGTGGAAGGAAGGTGCGCTGCACTGCAATCCCAAAGGCATGCAGTTCAAATCCACCAGTTGCTCCATGAGAGAAGGATGGGCAATCTCCTCCCTTGAGATTTTCCTGCCTCTGATAACCTGCTGGAGGGTCAATTCTGATTTGCTAGCACACAATAACCATCATCATGTTGCCTATGGGTCCAGTGGTGAATATTTTTGTTTCCTTGATAATAAAATGCAATCCATACTGCAGGCTGTATTCTTTGATCTTCTGCAGCAAATGCTTCAAGTCCTTCTTATTTTCAGCAAACAAGGTATAATTCATATAATGCAGATAGAGTCTTCCTTCAATTTTGATGCAACATTCTTCTTCACAGTCCAATTTCTTGAATAATTTCTTCAGGATACAGATTAAATAGGTGTGGAGAAAGGTTACAACTTTGACACACACCCTCCTAATTTTAAATCATGTCTTCGAGTTGTGGTGCTGGAGAAGAGTCTTGAACATACCATGGACTACAAGTAAACAAATAGGATAGGTCTGTCTTGGAGAGGTGAAACCAAGTCTCTCCTTAGAGGCTAGGATTTTGAAACTCTGCCTCACTTACAATAGACATGTAACCAAGAGATTGGTCATTGGAAAAGGACATTATGCTCGGAAAGGTGGACAGACAGCAGAGGAGAGGGAGACCCCGGATGAGATGGATTGATACAGTAAGTGGAGTGATAACAGTTCATTTTCATTCAGCAACAGAAGGGTATGCTTTTCTAATTATGGCATTATCTTTGGAATTAAGTAATTTGCCCCAGTTAAAAAGTGAGTTTAGTTTCATGAATATTTCAAGGGGGCGGCAATGGCACCAATTCTTTGCAGCAAAGGGGAGTTATTATAGACTAAGTCCCACTTTAGAAGTATGCCTGCAGATTCATCTATCAACTCTCAACATAAACATCACTAAAGCTTATTTCTTCAAGTTTGCTGTCTTAAGGCTATTTAGTGGAATATTTTCTAAAAGATTAGATTGATCAAACCCTTTGTAAATAAAAAAAGTAGTCAAAGTGAGAGTGACAGCTTTATGACAAATATGAAGAAACACATAATAGGTTTTCCACCTCAGAAATGCATAAAATTTTTAAAGTAGAGAAATTATGAATGACTTAAAGTGTAATGTTTACAAGGTTTTCAATAATAAATAGGCATTTACAATAACCTCACTATTACAGTTTATATTACAAAATCTATTACCTGTTTAGTAATATTTTCACAATATTTGAACTCTAATTCAGCTTCGAGTTTCTTCAAACCTTCCTTGAGAGCTTTTTCCTTCTCTAGCTCTAAATCCTGTTGGATCTTTTGCTTCTGCTCTTCTAACATCATTGCCATCTCTTTCTTGGAAAGGACATCAGTGGTGGTTAAAAGGTCAGTTTGGCTGCCACAATCTGAAGTCTTCTTTCTCATTTCCTTCTGAATATGATCCAGCTTAGACTTCCACTCCTTTTCAAGCCTTTGAGAAAGTTCTTCTTTGATCTGTTTTCAAAAGAAAAACATTCACTAGAATTAAACTTAGCCAATAAAGCAACCACATGAGAGTTAGAAAACCACTTAGACATTGTCAAAGTAATTATATGAAGCTTGGGAATTTAGTCAATAAAAATATACCCCGACAAAGAATCTAAGTTACCCTTTGACCTTATCTCTATAACGCAAATCACGTGAAAGATTGAAATATGTTGTTTAAGATTAGGTTAGGTTCCTCTCTAGAAGCAACCTGCTGGAAGCTTAGACATTGCTACAACAAAGACGGTATGATTTTAAAAAACAAAACAAAAACAAACCAACTATTTTGCTATTAATTAATATATATTGTCATAAATACCATGCTTAGTACAAAGAAGGTACTAATTAAGTCTAATTAATGATATAAAATTGAATGGATGATCTAGAATACAGTCATGTTCACTTGAATAAATTAGAGTTTTAATTGTTATAATGTTAAATCTACTGAGTAGAGTGTGCATTCAAGCCAGGAACATTATTGGAAAAATTAGTTTCTGCGGTATTTTTCCACTTTCAGTAGTACTCAGGGATAGGTTCACACAGATACAGTCTTAAGAGAAACTGGGAAGTAGTAAATTTACTTTTCCCTTTTCCTGTTCTCTATCTCTCCTGTGCAGACAAAGTTCCCAAACTGCTCTCCCAGCCCCTAGACCACGTAACTGTGTTGCTTTATTTGAAAATGTCCTCTTGAATAGAAACATCCTGACATTCTCATAAAAGCATTAGTACTCTTATTCCTCTGGAAAACAACTGGTTAGCTAATCAACTTTAAAAAAAAAAACAAACAAACTCAAAAAAACAAAAAGACTAATTTATAACAATGCATAAATATAGTTCATTTTGTACCGTCCAGATTGTAAGATTTTATATAAAAATGACTAGGATAATTCACTGCAGGTGCTCTCTGAAGAAGGAATGGGAGAGAAGGAGCAGGGAAGCTGAAATACAGGTGAGTAATCGATCATATCTTCAGATAGTTCTCACTCCAGTTAAGAGCATCATTGTGAGCAGGAGACTCTTGTTTAAGTAAACTGGAGAATTAATTTAACTTCTTAATAATTTTTTGAGATCATAAACTTTCTAGGGAGTAATTAGCATTTCCTGCCCTCATTTTCTATTCATGCAATGGAGGGAAGATTCCATGCTTTTGACCCAGTGTAGTCATCACTTTCTTCCTCTAATCCATAATATATAAATTTATAGACAACAGCTTAAGAGTTTTCAGAATCATTTTATCATATGAAATTAGGTTATAGTTTTCTTTGGAAGCATTACAGAAGACGTGCAACTTCTGATCTGGGTTAATAAAGACCAAGAGGGTGAAATTTTTAAATAATAATAATAAAAATAAAAAAACAAACCTGGTGAGTTATTCTACCAATAACCCAATTCTGTAACGATTACATAGCAACAATTACAATCTTAGGGACAGATTAATACTATATTTTAAAAACATTATGGTTTTGAGCCCACACCTTCTTCTATTCCTTTCCCCAGGAGGTCTGGCTAACATCACATTATTTTCAACCTGCTGTTTAACAGCAGTTTCTCATTCTTTTTGCCATTTGTCCTTTTCCATAATAGGGGTATTTTGGTATTCTTCTTCAAGTTTCAACTGTAGTTTCATCTCTCTTTTCCAATAGTTGGTTCTTAAATTAAAATTCAAGTAAATGCCAATGTATAACATTGCCTTCAGGTTAAACTTACAAAATAATGATAATATGCACGTAAGAGACAGTAACACATGGGGGAGATGATCTTTATGCATGCTGGCTAATCTGTTGTCTATAGTGTTTTGATACGTCTATATTACTTAAATCTCTATCTAGATT